ACTTCCTGATTTCTGCAAATATTATTAATAAACTCAATTTTAATGTTAAAGTTTGATAGCCAGTCCCTGCCAAGTATATTTTCACCCCCTGTGCGTACAACATAAATTTTATTTTGCTTGTTTATATTATTAATATTAATATTTGCCATAAAATAACCAATCGGTTCAAAAACACTGTCATTATATCCTCGCAGCAAGGTTTGATCTTTATTTAGTAAACAATCCGAAAAATATTTTTGATAAGTGCCATGATTTATGGCTGTAATAGCAGAACCACTATCAATTAAAAACTTTACATTTACTTTATTTAACAAAATTTCTAATTTAAAATCGTTTTTTGTGTCTAAAACCTTTGAATTTGCATAAAACATGTCAAATACTTGACTATTATCACAGCTATTATTATCACAAACATTTGTTAAAATTTCTGAACAATTATCATTATTGCCAGGGTCATTTTCGATTATGTTTACATGTTTATTTCTATTTTTGTAACAATTTCGGGAATTGTGTCCGATTTTGTTACAAATTTGGCACTTGACTAGATTAGAATTGCATAAGCCTTTATGTTTTTTGTTACAATTATGGCAATTTTTATAAAAATAATTAGTTTGAGTACTATTACCTTGGTTATGTTTATACTGTGACTGATGACTGCGGCCATATTGCTTCTGCCTTCCGTAGCCGTAGTCTTGTCCTTGTGCTCGATGACGTGAGTGATTGGTGCTGTGGCTGTGACTGCGTGACATGCGTATTTCTTCCCTGACGTTTGTCGAACTTCCCGAGGAAGGGCGTCTCGGACTGGCCTTCGTTTCTTGGCGGGAATCTTGAATTGTAACCTCTTCTGCTGGCTACAAAATGGACTTCGGAGATTGCATTTTCCGCTTTAAGGGCCAAGGAGTACAAGTCCTTGAATCCTTTCGTGATATCTTCTTCACATAGACGGTCCAGGATCTTTCCAGGAGACAATCCCGTTATGAATTTGTCCTTGACAATGTCTGAAAGTTGATTTCCGAAATCACATGTAGTGGCAGCGGCTCTAATGTCGGCGTGCCAGTCGGCAATGCTTGAATTTCCTTGGGTCATCTGGTAAAATCTAATGCGTTCTCGCCAGGTACTTTTTTGCACTGAGTACTGGGTTTTGAGCAATCTGCATAATTCCTCAAAATTTTTTGCATCCGGAGCGTTGGGGTATGTTAAGTTTTTTAGTAATTTGTAAGTGGCTTGGCTGATGGAACTTAGCAAAACGGCAACTTCGATTTTTTCATTAGTTACCTGGTTGACAATAAAATGTTGCTGAAGCCTCTCGATGTAAATTTCCCATTCGTCCACGTTTGAATTGAATTCGTAGAACTTTGGAATGGTGCCCGTCGCCATCTTCGTTTAACCGTGCCGTACCCGAAATAGAATTTTAATTTTTTTTTTTTTTTTTTTTTTTTTTTTTTTTTTTAGCCAAAATCACTCGCGTTTTTCCAACTTTTCCTCGTCGCCAAATGTAATAACTTAACTTTTGAATAAAAGATTACCGAACGTGTTCAAAGGCTTTATTTAATTTCCGGATTTAAGTACAAGAGTTCCGTTCCATGATAGGTCTTTTCCCTAGCGTGGCCGTAGCAGAAGAGAGGGCTTTTGTTGCCTTTTCTGCCGTAGTCTACAATCTTTCAAATCTGCGCATGTGCGCTAACAAACCTAATTATGACCTTTATATTACGTGTGAATAGAGACTTTACACATATGCAACAGTAAGCCTCCATACGCACGCCATTGGTAGGTAGGTACCTACTGGAAGTGAAGGGTTTCATTTTGGTCCTTTTTGTGCTTATTCCTCCATTTTTCTCTCCTCCTCCTCCTTATTGAATAGACGAATTTAAGAAAAAATCATATTTGACAAAAACAGCTATATCTCCATAGCAACGTATAGGATATCATAAAAATTGCAAAAACGTCTAGAGGCGTCCATCTAGTGATTCACCCTATACATAAAGAATCATTACACTTTGCGTCATTACTTCCAGATTCTGCGATGAATTTCTCAAATTTTGCATGCTGACAAATTCAGCACCCTGTTACGGGTCAGAATTCACAAGCTTGAATTGCTTCAGAATTTATCAATAAATAAAATATAAACAAAACGTTACCTTATCTCCAAATTGGCTATTTTGGGTTTGCTAAATAAACAGTAAATAATTCGCTCCAAAATCATTTATTTATAGTCCTTTGCAGGGTACTTAAGTAAATAAGGAATCTTCAAACATCTTCAAGGGTCGCTCTCGAACTTCATAATAACAACAAACTATTGAGGTTAAGGTTTTGTTTAAATAATGATGGGCTTGATTTTTGGCTCGAAAATTTAAATCTAGTAACTAAAAACTGAAAATCCCCTAGAACCTGAATGACTTGTAAAATTTTAAAGGTACCGGATTTTATAGAATAGAAAAAAAAAAAGGTAGCCAATTCGTGACGCGTCAGAACCAGATCTCATTTAGAAGAAGCAACACCTTTTGCTTTTCTAGTGGCTTTTTGGCCGATTTTTGAGAGATTTAGGTCCAAAAATTTAACTTAAGGTGGCTATTAGTTCTTATTATAGCACCATAGCAGTAGTTTGCTGAATTAAAGTTAAATTAATTGAAAAAAGACCTACACTTTGGTGTCACGTTTCACGTTTTTGACTTTGTGCAAGAAAAGGCCAATATCCCATTGGTAAGTTCCTTTTTTTTTGACACTATTTTCATCTTTCTTACTTCTGAATATTATTCGAGCCTTTATTGGAGAAAAATATTAAAGTAAATACGTACATACCTTAGTTTTCACGAGCCTGATGCAATGTTCGTTGTTCTAGGCCTTTTTTTTTTCTTTATATCGTTACGTCCTGTATCGTTCCTGATTGTCGCCGTATTGCCGCCCTATCGAGTGTGTGGAATCCAACCCTATATCTTGGCGACCTTGACGTTCGCAGACCCTTAAATACGTTTGGAAGTTGGTTAGCTCCGGAGTCCGGATAGGCAGACCTGGATCTAGTGGATCGCCTGATTTTATCAACCACTAATCCTCCCAGCTTAAATAAATAAGGTTTGAGTATTGTTGTGTTGTCTTTGGGACCATCAAACCTACAACTTAGCCTGCGAACACCGCCAGCTGAACGTTATTTCTGTCTTATATTGAACTGAAATTAAATTATTAACCCTTCAGGTTTACAGTTTAAGTTCTTACCTTTAAGTATCTATTAATCCCTTGGACACAAATAACACACAAATTTGTACACTTTTATTATTCTCACTTGTACACCGGGTATAAATGGATCCATTTGCGAAGGTATTTTAGAGTCCATTGGTTTAATTAGTTAAGGGACGCATCAACAACCGAACTGCCGCCCCAATTTGATTAAAATTGCGATATTTAATTTAGGAATTAGCAATAATTTTGGTCATTACCAACTACAAAAGGCGGATTCAATATACTACTGGTTCGGCAATTTTAGGTATAATTTTTCAGTGTGTAGTTTATCAGTAGTGTTTTTTTGGGTATAATTTGTTTACACTGACTGATTTGAAACACCCATATTTACATTTTCTTATTTGGCATTTGCAGATGCATGGAAAATTTGAAATTTGAGAGTAGATACTTAGTAATTAAATTCATTAATTTGAGTTACAGTGTTTCTTTTATTTCTCTTTAGCCAATTTCAAATTTCAGTAATTAGGGATTTTAGTTTGGCAGTACAGTACCTATCTTTTGTTTGAGATTTCCTGTTTTTATTTTATCGGGAATTCTGTTTAACTAAAGGGCCTTAAAACAGGTGGCGCTTTATTTGATAACCCACACCACTCTCCCCTATAAGAGTTTGTCGGCAGTCCTAAAAACAGAGTTTCCTTTCTCGTAGTTGAAGTACTGAGCCACCAATTCTGGATCTCCCCCTTTTGTTGCTGTTTTGTTTTTAACTTAACAACCCTGTATATAAGAAAGCTTCGGCCAAAAGCGGATTCGCCACCACTGAAAAAAGTATAAAGTTAGGGCTTTCCAACACTAGTTTGAAATTCACCATCGGAATGAAATTACAAAAGTTACAGCTTTCCAAATATAGTGATATTTCGAGGTGTCCCATTTCATTTTCGGCTGAGTTTAGATAAGGTGCTGGTAGTACCGAAGGCAATGAGGGAAGAAATCCTATGGGTATTGCACGCATCACCAACCTGTGGTCATCTAGGACTCAGCAAAACGATAGATAAAATACGGAACCGATTTTCCTGGGATGGAATGTTAAAAGACATTGAAAAATACGTCAAAGGGTGCGTAGATTGCCAAGCAAGGAAGGGACAGCCCTACAGGAAACCTCCTGGGCCCCTTCATGGCCATTTGCACGGCTATCACTTACGGGATATCTAATCTAAGTGGAGCTTTGAATGTGACTTTTGTTTCCACAAAAGACACATTCAAAGCTTCACTTGGATTTAATATCCCTTAAGTTATAGCGGTGCAAATGACCGTCAACCGATTAAAGTGGGATGCGTCATGGATAAAGTGGGAATTAGACTTGCTCGGTCCATTTAGAAGAAGTTCAAATAACAAAACTATGATAATAGTTGCGACAGATTATGCGTCACGCTACGCAATCACGGCGGCACTGCCAAATGGAAAGGCAGGCCCAGTGGCGAAGTTTATTTTGGAAAAAATTATATTGATATACGGAGCCCCAAGAACACTGTTGAGTGATAGAGGAAAGGTTTTCCAGTCCGAGCTAGTAACAGAACTTGGGAAGATAATGGGAGTAAGAAACCAATATACTACAGCGTACCATCCCCAGTGTAACGGCCTTACGGAAAGGTTGAATAAGACAATGGCCGATATGCTGGCAATGTACTGTAACACACAGCAGACTGACTGTAGTTACGTTCCGTTCGTTACCTTCGCTTATAACACAGCGATTCAAGATAGCGCACAGCTAAGCCCGTTTATGGTAACTTTTGCCAGGAACCGACTCTACCGTCGGAAGCAATGTTGATTGATGATGACTCGGAAACGGATATACTACACCTGAGGGAAAAAGCGCTGGCTATAAGGGCAATAGCAGCAGAAAATATACACAAATGACAAGTAAAGGATAAAAAACGATTCGATAACAAACATAGAGAATTAAAGTTTGATATTGGGGATAAAGTTAAAATTTTCGTGCCGGTGAGAAAAGTAGGCTGAAGCGAGAAATTGCTATTGAAATGGTTCGGACCATACAAAGTGTTAAGAAAATTAGGAGAGGTCGACTATGAAGTTGAGAAAATTGGTGGAAAAAAGAAGGACACGGTTCATGTGAGTAGGATACTGCCCTACTACGACCCTTGGACAGGGGATTCCCCAATTTTAGAAACAGAGTTATTAGAAGAATCGGAAACAGAGAGTAATGTTGCTGAAAATGAGGAAGAAATAGAGGAAATCAGCGAAGACTGAGGCCTCAAAAATCAGTACGAAATCGATTGGGATCGCGACCCACATCGGAAACCTAGTAGTCATAAAACTATAAGATAGAAAAATATACCTACTCACTATTAATTTAATGAGCATATTTTTAATATAGCATATAGAAACATAATTATTATAATAACCAAAAAACCGCAAGCATTGCTTTATTCTACACCACACAAGTCAACTTATACTCGAGCAGAAGCCACGGTGTATAACCTATTGCTTATTGAGAAACTAGAAAACAATGAAATAAGATGCAAGCTAAGCAAACCAACGCCAGCTACAACAATGGTGTCTGAAGGAAGTACCTACTGCAAAATCAAGGCTTGAGCCTAAAATAAGCGAATGAATTATTACAGGAACGTAATGAACAAATTTGTATTTTTTTTATTTATTTTTTTTGTAAGTTGATATAATAGGATATAAAAATATGAAATAATATTAGGTAAAATATTGCTGGCCAGCAACTTAATGGAAATTAGGGATAAAGTTATAATATAAATAAGGATACATAATATAAGGTCAGGTATTAGGTTACAAAAAATATATGTATATGTATAGCAGGTATAACAAGGGATAGGTACTTAGTAAGTAAGGATAATCAGTATTATATATAAATGATAAAAAGGTAAGAGATTTCCGTACTATAGGATGTAAATAAAACTCGAAAATTTTGTAAACTTTGCTAATCACTTTTGCATAGTAAAACAAGGCAGAGGCGTCTCAACCATAACCTTCCAGTGGCAGCGGGAACTTCAAAAGAGAAAACTCAAAAAGCTAGGGGCACTATTCAAAGCGCCACAACCACGAAACAAGCTTCCAACCAATGGTCCCCTACGAGAAACAAGGTCCACTACGAAAAGCAAACCACGGGCCAAGAATTCACGACATTGGATACACTAGCCCAGATACCACGACATGCGGGAGACAACGCCAGAACATCTACAAAAGCAATTGTTTGAACTAAGACCACAACATCTTCAAGACCAACCTAGGCCAATCGCTAGCCTAGATCCACGACATGGGATCCAACAACCTAGATACCACGACATGCGTGAAACGTTGTCAGAACATCTACAAGAACAATTGTTTGGACCAAGACCACGACATCTACAAGACCAAGCTAGGCCAATTGCTAGCCTAGACCCACAACGTAGATCCACTACCTTCAGTCAAAGTCTGAGCCAATAAGCCTAGGCAACACAGCAGAAGACGTTGTCAGAACACAAAGAGACCACTGACATGAAAGCAAAGCCAGAACATCTACAAGAGTGATCCAGGCAAACAAGCCTTGGAACCACCAATACCCAGAGAATCACCAACGAAGTAGAAGCAAACCACAGACACTGTTCTAGTGTTTTCGAAGCCATGGAAGAATGGACACGCACAAAGAACCAATCACAAAGAAGAAGACGCCCGAAGATAAATAATGTAGTTTTAAGTTTTATTTAAAGTTTTTGTATTTTTTTAAGTTTTTGAAGCCAGATACGTCTCCTCGGGCATTGTGGGGCCAATGCCTTCATCGGGAGGGGCATGTGTCAACCCTACATGGGACCACGGGCTATAACCAAATTCAAAACACTGAACCACAGGTTATAACAAATAACTGCAACTAAGCAAGAAAACACAACCAGACTAATTAACGTAATTATAGCCCGGAATTACAGAAGCTCTGCAACATCAAGATACAAATGCAGGACCTGCAAGTTTGACTTTTCGTATTACAGAAGCAGAATGCATTTGCAAGTCGCCTGCAAATTTGCGCATGGTGAAACGGTCCCGCAAGTTCTTGCAATCACTGTGACAACTTTAGCATTTGAATATGGTAAATCAGTAGCGCCCAAACACTTTTTCCGATTAATATGACGAAATTGCAGATTTTTTCTGTAATTTGCTTGGTTCTGCAAATACAGCACATTTGCAAGTCGGCCATATTTACGGAACTGCAAATTTGCAGATGCAGATATACTGTAATTTGGCCCATAGTCAGCAAATATTGGATATAAAAGCCCGGGCTACACTATGGCAAATTAGTCGTGTCTCAACGCTTCGCTGCAATCAGTAGGTGTTTAGTGATAAAGTTAATACGTTATCGTATATCTATCAGGGCAGATATTCTCTGACGACCCAGGCTTTGACCTACAGTGAAAAGGCTTTCTAGATTTTCCTGTAGTGCTGGTTTGGTTGTTTAGCATTGCAGGGGTATACCCGACGTGTTGACTGTCCGCCCTTTTGAGCCTTACCACCCGAAGGGACGTTATCTGGTCCAAGATGATGATGATTTGGTAACAATTAAATATTCATGCTTCCGTAATCTCCGTCCTGTAACAATATATATTAGCTATCTAAAACTGTTCTGGTGTTTCCCTGTTACTCCTCCCTTCCCGTTCTGCTTTTCAGGGTAAATCGTTGAGCTACATAGCGAAACAGAGACGTTTCGTGACAATATAATGACTTACGTCAGTTGACAACTGCACTGGCAAAACAAGGAACTCCTGTTAATTCTGTTTATGTGCCTCCAGGGATCAAAATTGTTGACGATAGGAAAAAATTTATATTCACGCCAGTATAGACAATTTTGACCTGAATGAAGACACCATTGATGGGTAAAATACTACACCCTGCATGGCTATGGTAGCTTTTCAAAATCATGATACAGATCAAAGTTTTGTTTACGAAAACATTCCCAGGGAAGGAGCATACTCCCTAGGCATGGAAGAACTCCAAACGTTCACACAGTCCATATTGAAATATTGAAAACCAATGCAGCGTCCAGAATCTGCTCCTTTAAAAAAAATTATTTTAGACATGAAAACTGATAACATTTCGAAGAAAATCAATACTACATGGCGACTTCTTTGTAATTTCAAAGAAGATGCAAAATTTCCTAATTGGTCAGAGTATAATAACATAATTTCCGAAAACAAGATACCTGTATCTGATATTTTTTATTTGCCTTTTATTAATAATCCACCAACCGAATTTGATACTATTTATACCTCAATGGTCAGATTAGTAGAACTTGCAAATACAATAAACCAAAACCATATTATAATTACAGCAGATTTGGCAATATATTCAAAAGCTTAAGAAATCCTATGGAATAATCCTGAACCTTTGAAAGATAAAGTTACATTAATGCTCGGAGGAATGCACCTTAACATGGCTTTTATTGCCAGTATTGGATATATTTTCAGCGATGGAGGTCTGTGTACAATTTTAACAGAAACGGATACATATGTTGAAAATACTTGCAAAATGATGCTGGAAGGAAAGCAATACTCCAGAGCCATTAGAGGATTAACCTTGGCTGGAAATGCACTTTCTAGACTATTTTTTCAATCGGTTCTTAATTGGTGTGAATCATAAGAAAATTTAACCTTTCTCACACCTGAGTTGAAGGCCAACCTACAAAGTTTAATTCAAGACTTCACAAACTCGAGTTTTTGTCGAAGCCGCTTTGAAGGATTTCTCAAACTCATCAGCTCTTCAGACCAAATTATATCAGACTTTGTTGTTAGTGGTTCATCAAACTCGAACACATTTAAATACTGGCATTCCCTTCTTGAAGCAATTGATCTTTTGTGGCGATTACTACGGTCGGAAAGAAATGGAGATTTTTCTTCCCATTTGTGCGCAGTTAATGACACTTTGCCATATCTGGCGGCTGCTGGCAGAAATCTATACTTAAAGGACCCATGGGGGGGGCAACGCCCCCCCCCAATGTCCACTCCAGTTGGTAAAGAAATGTCTAGTTGGTTTCCAATTCTCACGCCAGTTGGTAAGACCCCCAATGTCCACTCCAGTTGGTAACAGTGACGCTTTAACCTTTCTCTGGCCCGTAGGTCAATTATTTGGTATGGCCTTTTTTTGACTGATCGTTTTTTTTTATAGGGTTTAATAAAATCATTCAGACGATTTCAAACTACTTAACCTGGCAGAATATGAAGACAAAAAATGTTGCCAAGTAGAATTCGGTAGAATCAAAGAAAGGTACTACACAATGATGGAACAAGAATGGTCATAAAACATGCTATATGGTCGGAACGTCCTAAAAGAAAATGATGGCATTGAGCTCCCAGCCTACCAATCACCACATATGGATGCTGGGGACTAAGTGTACTGATGGGTGCATGGGAAGAACAGCTGCATGGCTTGGGATCAAATCCATTAGCGAGGAAAAGATGCATAAAGGGTTGCAACTCTGAGGAAAATTCGTACCACGTTGCCTGTGCATGTTCTACAGGCTCAACAACAACAAGGCACGACTTCGTGGTACAATGGACCCTTAAGACACTGCTCAAGTCCCTGAATGCTCCAGAAGAAGCTCAAAGAAACTTACAATTTGGCAAAGTAGCGCAAACACTAACAGGTTCCTGCTGTAGTCGTTGCCAGTTGCCTCGTTGCCAGTTGCCACGTGCCCGTACTGCGCTAATGACGCGACGGCGATTCAGCGCAGCTCTTCAGCGCAGCTCTTCAGCGCAGCTCTTCAGCGCAGCTCTTCAGCGCAGCTCTTCAGCGCAGCTCTTCAGCGCAGCTCTTCAGCGCAGCTCTTCAGCGCAGCTCGGTGACTCTGGGGCGTGTTCCGGATTGATGCTCGATGGAGCGTGCGGAGCGATTCCAGAGCATCGTGACGTCAGGCAGTGCACTCTGGCCATACCAAATGTGCTTGTGCAATGTGAATTATAAGAATTAAAGAGTATTGAAATATATGCTAGTCCCGCTATTAAACAAACAGTCGATGTTTTTAGTATAGTGAGCTTTTTTATATTTTATATTATAAATTAAAGGCCAGCAGTTGGCCTTCATTCCCTAGTGGCCCGTAGGACATGACCTAATTGTCCTAACGGATAAAGTGTCCCTGGTTGGTAAAAAAATATCTAGTTGGTTTCTAATCCACACGCCAGTTGGTAAGGGAAAACGGCAGTGTACTTCTAAAATTGACTTAAACACGTTCTAAAAAAAGGAATTTTATAAAGTTTTAGATACCCTAATAAGTTTTTTAAACGATAATTTAACTGCTATTTTTAAAAATCTGCGCGGATTCACCTGTTTATTTTCATTGGGTACATTCAGGCGTTCCCAGCGGCTAAGCTCAGCCACTCAGCAGGTACTTTATTCTTGAAACCGAGGAACAGCGTTCTCATGAGAACGATTGCTCTGTCATTGTCAGTGTTTAGGAAATATAGATACGGACGATGAACATAGAACCTTCGTTCTCATGAAAACGTTGCTTCCCTGTTTCGATAATAAAGTCCATGCTGAGTGGCTGAACTTAGCCACTGGCACCGCCTGAATGTACCCATTTCCTCTCTCTAGACATAATGAACATACATACCTATCTATGAGAAATGTCAATTTAACACTTAATTTATACAGGGTGTTTGGACGTTTGGTAGGTCGATGCAAATATTTTGAGATGCGATAGAGTAAGTCATTTAGAACCTTTTTAGTCAAACTTACCTTAGTACCAAGTCTTATGGTTTTCAAAATATGGTCGATTTTATTTTTTCTTAATCAACTCCTTCGTTCGGTGCTTCAATGCAATATTAGGCAACAACATCACAAATTATCAATAGTAATATAACTAGTGCAATGGAAATTATTGATAATTTTTGGGAAATTTGCTCGAATGCATTTTTAGTTGAAAAAGAGCACGAGTGCACGTAGTGCACGAGTGCCTTCTTCAGTTATAGCGTTTTCTGTTGGTAAAACTCGTGCTGTCCGAGTTCTGCACTCAACACTGAATCAGTTCACGTTTAGTGCAATCTCAAAAGAACATGAATTTGGCGCGTTTTGTCATTCTTTTAAAATTTATTATTTAACGATCCCTGATCCCTAACCTAACCTAAAGACATTTTCAATGGAATAAAAATTAAAAACGTTTGTGTGTATGAAAAAGTTGAAAACGGAAGTTTTTCCTGTATGTAAAGTACATAATTATGCTGTCTCCCGAGATGTGCAGAAATAATTCCCATGATATCTGCGTGGAAATTAATTTTTATGTCAATTTCAATAATAAAATTTTGAATTTTTGGTATCTCATTTTCCCTGGCAAACATTCAGGCCTATGATGTATTCTGTCCTGTTATTTCAACGTCTGTGTTAAGGCTCAACATCTATTTCTGTCTCTATTTTGATGTTGCTGCTAAAATAACAGAAAATGATACATCATAGGCCTGCGATTGTATATAATATAATAGATCCGATTAAATTTCATTGGTTGAAAACAGTCAGAAACAGTCAGAAAACTAGTTTTAAGTTAAAACTAGTTTTCTGACTGTTTTCAACCAATGAAATTCACTCTGACTGGTTTGTGATTTCTGCAGAAACAGACCTAATAATTCTTCCTCTTCATCGCTGTCGCTCGACGAAGATAAAAAATATAGAATTTTATCAATATCGATATCCATAATTTTTTGGTTTTGTTTATACACAGACTTTTGTGACAGACTTTTCGGCACTTTACGCCATTTTTGTTGTGCCCTGACATTGGCACGAGCTCTCTGACCTCGTGCTGGAAAAGTTGCACGAGGGCAATAATTGATTGCCCTGGTTTTCCAATAGAACATAAAAACCCGCTCGAAAACTGCCAACAGAACATAATTTTTGCATGAGTGCAGCACGAGTTTTTCCAACAGAAAACGGTATTAAAAACGCATGAGTGCAAATTTGTCGAAAATTATAAATATATTTCCATTGCACGAGTTGTATTTAATGAGAGAATTTCAAAACACCAGTTTTCGCACCAGGGGGGGTTTATTTGAAACGTGCAATTCAAATACGTCTGACTAAGTCGCAATTTGTAAAGGTGAAATTCAAAAAAATGCACATGTGGCTTATTTGAAACTTTCGTCAACGTATTTTGCTAAATTTGTCGACGCAAGATTGCATTTGACATGCGTCACCCCTAGAGCTAATGCATTTCCAAATTGCATGCGAAAGTTTCTTAAAAATTTCAGTTTAGTCGATAAAAAATATTCCTCATGGAATTCGCAAATAATGTTAATTTAAATGCTCTAGAAAGGGTCGAATTGTATAACAATAACCGCAAAGGCTTCAGAAATCCAAGAATAGATGCATGCATTAACAATGGTAATGACGGGGAATTAAAAAAAAACTTGACTCGACTTTCAAAAGAATGTTTCGAGATTCCTTCCATGAAAAGGAGTTCGAAAATTTCCCCGACAAAAGGGCCGGATTTTTGTTCAAATATTCGACCGAGTGTTCTTTTTGTTTTTTGGTAACAAATCCGGACCTTCTCTTATTGGCACTTGCCCCCGCACTTTCCATCCTTTTTGCGGTATTGCCTACACTTATAGAAAGAATGAAGAATGAACTAAGATTATCAACAAAAAAAACGAAAAACCTCCAACTAAACACGAAACTTTATGCACGGAAATAATCAAAAAAGTTGTTGACGGTAAACAATTTCAAATTTGACATTTCAATGCATCGTTCCGTTTGGTCATATGAAATTTTCTAACAATGTCATTGGTTAGAATCTTTTACAGGACACGTTGCCAAGTTGAGTAGTGCAAATTTAAAAAGTCATGAATTACAAAATGCACAAGTTTTCAAATAAGCCGATCGTGAATTTTTAGAATTCGTCGACGCGCATATTTCGACCGACTGCGTCGCATGTGAAAGATTTGCACGGATTTCAAAT